CTGATGGGGAGAAGTGGGGTAAAGGCAGCAATGAAGTGGCGAGCTAAGCCTTACAATATACAGTGGGCTTCTGTGGACCCGGTTGGGGACTTGGGAGGCAAGCAATGTGAGGAGACCTGAGGACTCCTGGGGCCCAGAGTCAGTGATGTGGCCATGGAGGACTCAAGTGGAGAATGGAGCTGCCGGCTGATGGGAAGAGAGGGCATGTGCACAAGAACACCCACACTTGCAGATGGTACCCATGTGACTGGGACTGGATGACTGGATGACTGGATGATCAGAGCTCAACCAGGAGAAGAAAGAAGGGGGTGGGGGTGGGGAAAGAAGAAGATCGAGCTGATTTAATCTGATGAACTTGGCCTATACCTATGAATGCAGTGACTCAAAAGAGGCAACAAAATCCTTACAGCAAGAAACATTCCTACCCACTCCACACACAGAGTAGAGAGAGATGGGCAACTTGGACATTGGATACCCAAATGGGGAGGGAGAGACTACAAAGGCAAGAAGTGACTGGCTTACAAGCTTTCAAGAGGGAACCTAGAGCTAGGGGGCATGGAGGAAGGCAGAATTTCCAGTGTACTGTCCAATCTGTGTAGGTGGAGCTGATGAAATGAAATACAGATGGGTTATTCGCGATGCTGTAGTGAATAATGGTTATCAGGATGGATTATGAGGGTTGGAAGTGCAAAGGTAGACGTTGTATAGCAAGGAAGGGAGTGATTATCTTTCCAGTCTAGGAGGGGTCTCTGGGACCACCAACGGAGAAGAGCCGAGAGCAGGACCCTACTAAGAGAAGCCTGAATGGAGACAGAGATGATGACATGGAGGGATGAAGCAGCTGGGGACTTTGGATCCAGACAGCGAGAGGGACTGTAGGCCGAAGACTGGGGAGGGGGACGGGGGGGGGGGAAGTGTAGAGGACGGGTTTCTAGGCTATCCCCTTTGGTCCAAAGATGATGCAGGGAGGGGATTGGAACCATGGCAATGAAATGATATACGATGGAATGAATGTAAAACTAAAGTTCTCTCATGTAAACTATCATATAATTCACAATAAAACATTAAAAAAAAAAAAAAAGACAGCCAAGCATCTTAACATTATTCCCTTCTTTTCCCCCATTCCAACCATGTCTCAGTCTCTGTATCCCAGAGCCCTGTTGTTCCAAGGTTGTGCATATGTCATTATTTACCTCTGTCCCTTTTAGCCCATGCAAACCTGCCTAATTGTTCTCCCATCTGCTTTGTTCTTCCATTCCCCTCTCCCTTCTTGTGTATTGCCCTCCTCCCCAGCACCCAAAGTATCCTTTGAGTATTTGCTGCCCTGTGCTCCACCCCACCCCCACATACCAACATCCAGCAAAGAATCCATCCCCCTTATGTATGGGTTCTTTTTCTTAGTCTTTTACAGTAGTGGTCTTATGCAGTATTTTTCCTTTTGTGACTGACTTATTTCTCTCAACATAATGTCCTCAAGGTTCATCCACGTTATGAGGTGGCTTGCAGCTTCCTTGTTATTCTTTGAGGTAGCATAATATGCCATTGTGTGTATGTACCACAGTTTGTTTATCCATTCTTCAGTTAATGGGCACTTTGGCTGTCTCCGTCTTTTTGCTATTGTAAATAGTGCTGCTGTGAATATTGGTGTGCATGTATCTACTCATGTTATGGCTAGTATTTCTTGTGGGTAAATACCAAGTAGAGGAGTTGCTGGATCATAAGGCATTTCTATTTTCAGCCTTCTGAGGAAATGCCATATTGCTTTCCAGAGAGGTTGGACCATTTTGCAGTCCCACCAGCAATGCAGGAGTGTCTCAGTCTCTCCACATCCCTGATAGCATTTATTGTCCTCTACTTTTTTTTATCTTTGCTGTTATTGTTGGTGTGAGATGATATCTCATTGTTGTTTTGATTTACATATCTCTAATGGCTAGTCTCTGGTAGCATAGTTGTTGCGAATCGGGCTGCGAACTGCAAGGTCAGTAGTTTGAAACTACCAGCTGTTCCGTGGGAGAAAGATGAAGCTTTCTGCTCTCGTAAAGATTTACAGCCTTGGAAACCCTGTACAGGGTCATTATGAGTCGGAACTGACTCCGTGGCACATAACAACAACAACAATGGCTTGTGATTGTAAAAATTTCTTCATATGTTTGTTGGCTGCCCGGATCTCCCCCTTGGTGAAGTGTCTGTTAATGTCCTTTGCCCATTTTTTACTTGGGTTGTCTTTTTCTTTTAGAGGTGTTGTAGTTTCCTATATATTTTAGAAATAAGTCCCTTGTCTGATGTGTCATTGTAAAAGATTTTTTCACATTCTGTGGATTCCCTCTTTACTCTTGTGGTGAAATCTCTTGATGCACATGAGTTTTTAATTTTGCCTACTTTTGTTTGTATAGTTTTTAAAATGTTTGGTAGTCTGTGTATTCCCTGAATTAGTGTCCTCACATTTGTCCCCATTTTTTCATTGATGGCCTTCATAATTCTGGGAATCACATTTAGATCTTTATTCCATGTTGAGTTGGTTTTTGTATAAGGTGTGAGGTGAAGATCTTGTTTTAATCTTTTGCATATTGCTTTCCAGTTCTGCTAGCACCATCTGTTGAAGAGACTATCACCTCCCCATGTGATACATTTAGATGTTTTGTCAAAGATCAGTTGGCTGTATATAGATAGGTTAGTTTCAGGATTCTCAGTTCTGTTCCATTGATCTATGTATCTTTCATTGTATCAGTACCAAGCTGTTTTGACTATTGTAGCTGTGTAGTGAATTTTGAAGTCGGGAAGTGAGAGGCCTCCAACTTTATTCTTCTTCTTAAGCAGTGCTTTACTTATCCTGGGTCTCTTTCCTTTCCATATAAAGTTTGTAATTGTTTTTTCCATCTCTTTGAAGAATATTGTTGGAATCTGGATTTGGATTGCATTATATGTGTAAATTTCTTTGGGTAGTATTGACATTTTCACAATGTTAAGTCTTCCTATCCACGAGCATGGTACATTCTTCCATTTTTGTAAGTTTCTTTTGGTTTCTTGTAGTGGTGTTTTGTAGTTTTCTTTGTATAAGTCTTTTGTTTCTCTGGTTACATTTATTCCTAGATATTGCATCCTTTGTGTAGCTATTGTAAATGATACTGCTTTCCTAATGTTCTTTTCAAGGATATCGTTTTTGGTATAGAGGAATCCAGCTGATTTTTGTATGTTGGTCTTGTATCCTGTCACTTTGCTGAATCTTCCAATGAAGTCTAGTAGCTTTTTTACTGAGTCTTTGGGGTTTTCTACATATATGATCTTATTGTCTGCAAATAGAGTTTTACTTCCTCTTTCCAGTTTGGATGTGTTTAATTTCCCTGTCTTTGGCAAACTGATTTGTAAATAATTAGAAATGCAAAGCGATATAAACTCTTAAGAAAGTGGTATGACTTGATCTATCTTTTCATAAAATTATTGGTTTTAAGACAATGTTGTATTAATAAGGAGACAGACAAATAGAGTAATGGTACTCAAAAAGAAATTCACATTTAGGCAAATGACCAAAGTGACAGAAGGTTTTGTTTTTAAAAAAATAGGACTAAAAATAGTTAAAAAGTGGAAGCACCCTAAGTGTCTTTCAGTGCAAACAGAGAACCAAAATGTAGTGCTTACATACACTGGAATACAACTCAACTGTATAAAAAAAAAAGATGTTAAGTCCATGGTACAATATGAATGCGCCTTGAGAACTTTATGCTTATTAGTGAACTAAGTCAGTCACAAAAGGACTTTGTCTGATTTCCTTTATATGAAACAATAGGAATAGACAAAATGTATAGGAACCTAAATTTATTAGTATTTATCAGGGATAGGAAAGACAAGGGAAAGAGGAGTCAAATTTTAGTAAAGAGGAAGTGTTTGTTTATGGCGATGGAAAATTTGGCAACAGTTATGGTTACAAAACATGACAAATTGATATCTTTAAATTATACATTTGAAAAATGTTTAATTGATAAATGTGTTATGTATTTTTTACAAAAAAATGAGTGTTAGGGAAATTTGTGGTGCTCTAGGATAAACACTGGACCGAAAGTTTGCTTTGAATTGCAAGGTTGGAGGTTCAAACTCATCAGCCTCATGGAAAATCCTATACAGGGTCTCTGTGAGTCAGAACCAACTCGATGACACTTCACAACAAAAACGTAGATAAAAAGGAAATCAGACTTCTTGAAATTAATCCCAGATAGATGAAGACCTAACTGAATGGCAAAATTGTACAACTTTTAAAAGCTAATACTGGAGAATATCATCTTTATCTAATCTGGAAGAATTTCTAATCTATTTAAGAAATTATTCTTGACATGGATGGGAGGGAACTGTGAGAAGCTTTTACTTATGGGGTGTAAATGGTGGAATGATTTGGAAAGTATTACCAAGGATAATTTTACTACTTGGGGAATATAATCAATGCTAATGAATTATGCTTGTAAAGGATAAAGGACAGACTTGATACAGGGTCACTTTGAGTTGAACTGATTCAATGGCACTTAACAACAAAACAGTGATTTTAAGTTGGAATCCTGATGTGGCACTACTGGACTGCTAACCACAAGGTTGGATGTACAAACCCACTAACTGCTTCTTGAAAACCCTATACAGGGTTGCTATGTGTCTGAACTGACTCAGTGGCATTGAACACTAACATATTTGAGTTAATCTTGTTTAAATGTTAATATCTTGGTGTACTTCCCTTGTAGTGTTTTACCTTTCCTATTTATATTTTGTATTTTTTTATTATTATATGTCTGTCTTTTTCTTGTTGAGTGAATTTCTATGTATTTATTAATATTTTCCATTTGTGTTACTTAGCTTAATTTTTTTGTTTTATCTTCAAGTTATTAATAGAATATAAAAATTCAACCTATGCTTGGAGGTTTATTTCTACGTAAGAGAATGAAATACAAGTTTATAAAAGTATCTTAAAACAAATGTTTGCACAAATAAATGGGTTTTCTTTCTCTCTTTTTTTTTGACAGATCTAGATCCAAAGAAAAAACAGAAGGTGGGGAAAGTTCTAAAGAGAAGAAAAAAGACAAAGATGACAAAGAGGATGAAAAAGAAAAAGATGCTGGTGTATGTTTTCTACCTTATAAATAATTGTATATTAAGATTATTTATAAAATGACAAATTCTTTGTCTTCATGTAATAAATTTTTCTTAAAGATCAGTGATAAACAGATATAAACGCACAGAAAGATAAAATAATTGTTACCTCTGAGAATATTTCTCAGAAGTGTTACAGTTGGTTATATTACAGAACAAAACTAAACATGAAGAAAGCCCACATGAAAATTGTGCACAGAAAAAAGACCCACTGTCATAAATGTACCCAAGAAATTTGTATACATGACAAATGCCTACATGGAAAATTGTTCATACCTAAAAATGCCCACATGGAAACATTCTTACACAGAAAAACACACATATAATACACACATAGATGTAATATCATATTCATGATACTGTAAAGGAATAAGTTCTTACCTGAATCTTAGCTCTACCTTTTATATGAGAATATCTCTTTTTACTTTTTAATTGTGAATTGAGTAAAGGTCTACAGAGAAGGTCATCAGTTTTACATTCAACAAATCATACACTTGGTTTCATCTCAATGACTGCAATCCCTCCTCCATGCAACTACAGTTACCCGCTTCTCCCTGTGGTTCCTATATTCTATTTTGTCCGCCTTCCCATCACTTCTCAACTTTGTCCTTAGGCAAATGTTGCCCTTTAGACCTTGAACATTGACCATTACTTAGTAAACGTACTACTTGTCTCCCTTATATGCCTATTTACTGCTTGACTGAGAAATTGGGCCATGAGGTTGAGTTCCTTTCCAGACCCGATGAGTGATTGTGGGCTATAATCTCAGATTTCTCCAGTCTCTTTCTGACCGGTAAGCCCAGTGTTTGATTTTAAATTTTGAGTTTTGTTCCACATTTTCTCCCACTTTATTAGAGTCTGATGTGATCTCTTTCAGAGCAGTTGGTACCAGTAGCCAGACACCATCTGTTTCTTCTGGTCTCAGAGTTGTGGGGACAGATGTTTGTTCATATGTTCCATTAGTTTGTTGGACTGATTGAGTCTAAGCATCTTCAGTTCTCATCACTGTTGTTTTTTTCTGCATATGGAGAAACCTGTAGCTAACTACACCTTAGATGGCTGCTCAGGGACTTTGTAGATCACTGAGGCTACTTACCAAAGATTGTCTTTGTAGATTATGTTATGCCAATTGACCCTGGTGTTCCCTGAGACTGTGGTCCCGAGTCCCTAGGCCCAGCAACTCATTACCTTAAGGTGTTTGATAGTATCTTTAGAGTTTTCATCATTTTGCCCACTGTATGCTCCATCACATTCACAGTTGTGTTTGTAGGAAAGATAATACCCATGTATAAATATCCTCTTCAGATGTTTATATATTTATGGGTATACTCCCACTCTTCCTCTTATACCGATTTATCCTGTGTCTCTGTCCATATATCTACCCTCAGAACATTTTGTTCCATGGTTGTGTATTTAGCACTGTTAACCCTTTCATACCTCCATGGTTTTACCTGTCTTCATCATTCTTTTGCTGTCTTCTCTTTTCTTGTATATTGCCCTCTACTCTTGGTGTGGTGCTGTAGGATCAGCACTGGACTGTGAACCACAAGGTCAGCAGTTCAAACCCACCAGCTGCTCCTTGGAAACCATGTGCAGGTGACTATGAGTTAGACCTGACTTGATAATACAACAACAACCACACCTTGTATATTGTTCTCCCCATCACTTGCCTTAACACTTGTCTACCCTCTAACCAGGAAATTATTCTCCTTCCCATCCCATTCCTCGTAGCCATCAAAGAATATTTCTTTTTGTATGAAAACCTTTTCTTGAGTGTTTACATACATGTATGAGAATATTTCTATGTGGGTATTTTCTTGTGAGGACATTTTTCTTGTGTGTATTTATTACAGTGGGGTCTGACTATGCACAATTTGCTTATGTGTCTTTCTCATTAGGTATTTATCTATATACAATGTCTTATAAAAACCATTTGCGGTCTGGATACTTACTGACTTGCGGACATTACATTGTGTGCCTTCCAGTTGTTTTCAACTCAGGATAACCCTGTAGGGTAGAGGAGAAAATGCCCCATAGGCTGTAATCTTCATGGAAGCATATTGCCGCATTTTTCTCTCAAAGAGCAGGTGATGGGTTCAAATAGCTATCTTCTAGTTAGCAGCCAGTGCTTAATCACTGTGCCACCAGAGATCCTTATCTTAACGGGAGTAGACAGCCTCATCTTTCTCACTTGGGGCGGCTAGCAGGTTTTGAACAGCTGACCTTGTTGTTAGCATCTGAAAGTTGTAATACGAGTGCTGTTATATGTGTCTATTAAAAAAAAAACCCATTGTGTCAGTATCGACTCAAAATGATCTTGTGTATAGAGTTTCCAAGGCTGTTAATTTTTTTTTAAAAACTTTTTATTGTGAATTGAGTGGAGGTTTACAGATAAGAGCATCAGCTTTACAGTCCACAAATTATGTACTTTGTTTCATCTCAATGATTACTGTCCCTTCCCTCCAATCACAGTTACACTATTTCTTCCCTGTGGCTTCCCATTTGCATATTTCACAAACAAAGCAAAAATATTTGATGTGTACTTAAAAAACAAAAAATTATATATTCATTTAAATATCTAAAGGGCACATTCTGCAAGCCAGCCTCCTGTCCACAGGCACACAGCTTTACGCAGTCCGTGGGTGTAGAGGCTGAAGTTGCTCTGTCTCTCTATGCCACTGCCTCTGCCACTGTCTCTGCTGTTGCCACTGTTTTAGGTAGGGAAGGGTTGTCAATCTTAAGGGAGTGGAAATGCTCATCTGTCTCCCATGGAGCAGCTCATAGATTTGAACTGCAAACCTTTAGTGCTTATCGTACAGCACAACCAGGGCTCATAAGGGCTCCTATGGTGGTGATAGTAGTTGTGTGCCATTGAGTTATTTCTGACTCATGTTTGTTGTGAAGTGTTGTCGAGTCGGTTCCAACCGATAGTGACCCTGAATAAATAGGGTTTCTGAGGCGCAGTTGGTGAGCTTGAACTGCCATCCTTGCAGTTCAAATGGTTTTGCAGTCTGGCACATTAACACACCAGAACTCTTCTGACTCAGAGTGATACTGTATAGGATTTCCAAGGCTGTACATCTTTTTTTTTTTTTCTTAAATGTTTTATTGTGAATTATGTGATAGTTTACATGGGAGAACATTAATTTTACATTCATTCTATCATATATAGTCTCATTGCCATGGTTACAATCCCCTCCATGAATCCTTCCCCCCATACCCCCCAGGTCTTCAGCACACAGTCGCTCTCCCTCTCTGGATCCAAAGTCTCCAGCTGCTCCATTGCTCCACGTCATCATCTTTGCCTCCATTTCAGGCATTACTGCTTCTCTGGGTAGGGTCCCGCTCTCCGCTCTTCTCCCTTGATGGTCCTAGGGACCTCCGCTCCTAGACTGAGAAGTTAATCACTCCAATCTTTGCTACAAAACATCTACTTTTACATTTCCAACCCTCACAATCAGTCCTGATGACAATTATTCACTATTGTATTACAAGAGACCCATCTGCATTTCATTACATCAGCCCTGCCTAGACAGATTGAATACTACTCACTGGAGAGTCTACCTTCCTCCAGGCCCTCTGGATCTAGGTTCCCTCTTGAAAGCTTGTAAGCCAGTCACTTCTTGCCTTTGTAGCTCCCTGCCCCCCATTTTGGGTAGCCAACGTTCAAGTTGCCCATCCCTGTCTACTCTGTGTGTGGAGTGGGTGGGAATGATGCTTGCCAAGGCTGTACATCTGTATGGCAGCAGAAAGCCTCATCTTTCTCCCAAGGAGCAGCTCGTGGGTTCAAACTGCTTGCTTTTCAGTTAGTAGCCCAACACGTAACCCACTATGGTACCAGAGCTCCTTAAATGCTTCTATGTTGTTAAGTGCTGTTGAGTCCGTTCTGACTCACAGAGATGTCCTATGTAGACTTTTTGAGGAGTGGCTAGTGAGTTTGAATTGCTGACCTTGCAGGAAGCAGTCCAGTGTTTATCCTACAGCACCACAGCAGGATTATAGTTTCTTGTTGTTAGGTGCCATCGAGTCGGTACTGACTTACGCACAGCAGAATGAAACACTGCTGGATCCTGGGCCAACCTTACCATTGTTGCCATGCTTGAGCCCATTGATGCTGCCACTTTGCTAATCCATCTCACTGGGGGTCTTCCTCTTTTTCTCTGACCCTCCACCTTACCAAACATGATATCCTTCTTCAGCGACTGGTCCCTCCTGACAATATGTATAAAACTCCATGAGCATGTATCTTTCTTTTCATTGCATTGCTTATCCTACCGCAATCCTACAGTAGAAGGTTAACTGTTATCAGTTAAATGGCTTCTTTCCCTTTGGTCTAAGGTACCCAAAGCACCATCACCATTACAACTTAATAATAATTTGTCTTTAGTTTTTGGTGTATTTTCATACATACCTCTTGTTGTTAGGTGCTGGTGAGTTGGTACCAACTCATAGAGACTTTATGTACAACATAATGAGACACTACCTGGTCCTATGCTAATCTCACAATTGTTGCTATGCTTGAGCACATTGCTATTGCCACTGTTTGCCAGGGATTGGGTCAGGAGCACCTTAGTTCTCAAACTGATATTTTTGCTCTTCAACACTTTAAAGAAGTCTTATGCAGCAGATTTGCCTAAGGCAATGCATAGTTTGATTTCTTGAGTACTGCTTCTACGAGTTAATGGTTGATCTGAGCAAAATGAAGTCTTGGACAGCTTCCATCTTTTCTCCATTAATTTTGATGATATTTATTGGTCTAGTTGTGAGGATTTTTATTTTCTTTATTGAGGTGCAACCCATACTTAAGGCTGTGTGTGGTCTTTGATCTTCATCAGTAAGTAGTTTAATTCCTCTTTACTTTCAGCAAGCAGGGTTGTGTTATATGCATATCACAGGTTGTTAATGAGTCTTCCTCTAATCCTGATACCATGTTCTTCATATAGTCCAGCTTTCATCACTGGTGGTAGTGGTTGGTGTGTAAATTTGAATAATAATTGTATTAACTGGTCTTCCTTGTAGACGTATAGATATCCTATCACAACAGCGTTGTTCTTCAAGATAGATATTGAAATGTTCTTTTTGATGATGAATGTGATGCCATTCCTCTTCAGTGTATCATTTCTGCTATAGTGAACCATGTGATTGTCATATTAAAAATGACCAGTACCAGTCCATTTCAGCTCACAAATGCATAGGGTATGGATGTTCATCCGTTCCATTTAATTTTTGTCAGTTTCCAATTTTCCTATATTCATAGCTTGTATATTCCATGTTCTGATTATTAATGAATGATTGCAGCTGTTTCTCCTCATTTTGAGTTGTGCCCCATCACTAAATGGAGGTACTGAAGGTTTTACTCCATTTGTGTCATCATGGTCAAATCTACTTTGAGGAGGCCTTTCTTTCTCAGTTGTATTTTCTTGCCTTACAACCTGAAGGGCTCATTTTCCGGCACTGTATCTGTCAGTTTTCTGGTGCTCTTCATCATATTTCAATATTAAGTATTCTGGTGCTGACAGTGTTGCTCTTCTCCTCATAAGAAGGTCTTCCAGCAATGAAAAAATAAAAAAAAGTACCACCAACCATCCTTCCTAATCTGTCTTAGTCTGGAAGCTCAGTTAAACCTGTCCACCATGGGTGACCTGGCTGGTATTTAAAATACCAGTAGCATAGCTTTCAGAATTACAGCAACATGCAGTCCCCATAGTATGACAAATGGACAGATAAGTGGTGGATAGCTCTAATCATACCATATGTAAACTTCTGATTGCTTATATATAATGCTTGATTTTGAAATAGTGCTTTAGCCTCTGATTGTATATATAATGCTTAATTTTGAAATAGTGCTTTAACCTCTGATTATATACATGATTGTGATTTGCTTCTTCTTTTTAAGTCTTGGCAAGACTTGAAAGGTTATTTCTAGGAAAATTAGGTCTAAATATTTTTAATTGTTTTGATAATTTTCATTTACATGTTAATTTATAATGGAAGATTGTTTTCAGTGGAGGAAATATTGGAGGGAGTATGGAGGATTTAAAATTGGGAATAGATAGGGAATTTTACTTGATAATTCAGTGTATTTTTTTTGTTTTTAGTTTTTTATTGTGAACTGAGTGATATGCAATGATTACAGTCCCCTCTGTGCATCATCATTCAAGTCAGTATTTGTTTCTGTTCCCTCTGTGTTTTTGTTTTTTAGGGGGTGGCAGGGAGGATGTACATAAAAACACCAGGAATATATAATCATATAAACAATCCAAGGGCAAAATCTGCAAGCCTGCCTCCTGGCTGCCAGCATACAGCCTTTCTCTTTCCATCAGTCTAGAGTCCTCAGGTGCTCTATCTCTCCATGTCCTCATCTCTGACTCCATCTCTGATATTGCTGCTTCTCTGGTTAGGGTCCCATATTCCATTCATGTTCTTTTCCCTTGATGGTCCTAGGGCCCTCTGTTCCTTCAGCGTATGTTCTTTAAGGTGGCACTGTGGGCTAGTATGTCAAACTGCAGTCGTTTGAACTGCAAGGTCAGTGATTCAAGCTCATCAGCTGCTCATTGAAAACCCTAAACAGGGTTGCTGTGGGTTGGAATCGACTTGACAGCATTTAACAACAACAAATACTTATTATAACTAAATTGATTAATTTCTGGTGTTAAAATTGTTTTTCTTTCTTAGGTTAAGATTCTTTTTATTTTATAATATTGTGATTTTGTGTTAATATATTTATGGGTAAATTTACAAAGATGTGTGATCTATTAAATGTGACCTACATTAGGATTATATGTTTGTATGTATGGAGTCCTTGTGCTAACCACAAGGTTGGCAGTTCAAATCCACCAACCACTACTCGGAAACCCTACACAGGGTCTCTGAATAGGAACCAACTGAAGAGCATGTAAAAACCATATATACACAAACACACATGCATGTACATTTTTATCCTTTTTTAAAATTTATAATACTCATGTGACTGCCACTTGGAATAAAAGTGTTAATTATTGTTTTCATCTTCTTTGTATGTATCTTCCTTTATTTTTTTTAAAGAACTTTGATCAGAATAAGCTCGAAGAAGAAATGAGAAAGCGAAAAGAAAGAGTAGAAAAATGGCGTGAAGAGCAACGTAAAAAGGCCATGGAAAATATAGGGGAACTGAAGAAGGAAATTGAAGAGATGAAGCAGGGGAAAAAATGGAGTTTAGAAGATGATGATGGTACATTTGTTTGTTGGCCTATATAGCAATTCTTATAAAATATTCTATAATTTCAATTAATATTTCGTATTGTGTTTTTTGGATGTTTATGGTAAATATGTCTTTCATTTTTTTTCACTGCCAGTACAGATGTTAATAATGAGGATGAATTTAGGGCATTCCTTCTATATCTCATTTTGACTTTTGAGAGTTTAATGAAGTAAGAAGATTATGAAATTTTAATAGAAAAATACAGTTTTGTTTTATTCTATGTATGCATTAAGGAGCTCTGGTAGCGTAGTGGTTACGAATCGGGCTGCGAACTTTAAGGTCAGCGGTTCGAAACTACCAGCTGCACCGCGGGAGAAAGATGAGGCTTTCAACTCCCGTAAAGATTTACACCCTCGGAAACCCTATACAGGGTTGCTATGGGTCGGAAACGACTCTATGGCACATAACAACAACAATAACAATGTATGCATTGCAGAATGGTTTAAATAGATAACTGGATTATGTGTATGTATGATCATAATATTTCCATTATTTACAAAACAGTATCTTGATTTTACAGTTATGTACTATTATTTTTTCCTTTCTAGTAGAAATACTTTTTAGTTCTGCTTTAAGCAGTGTAACTAAAATGTAATACTGGTGCTTTGTTTTTGCTAAGTTGTTGCTCCTTTGCAATTAAATCATTTATAAGGTTTTAATCTTTATTACTTCTTTTTTATTATTTTTTCCTCAAGTAATATATCTTGTAAAAACATAAGATCTTCCAAATTGAACTGTGGCACAGTTGGAGTAATTGCAAAGGAGGATGTTTGGGCAGTGGGGGTAAAGATTAGAGTGGTGGGACTCTGTCTGGTTGTGGAATCTTTCCTTTGGAAATACATGTACAAAGAAAGTATATTGTGATATTTTAGATGATGAAGATGATCCTGCAGAAGCCGAGAAGGAAGGAAATGAAATGGAGGGTGAGGAATTAGATCCATTAGATGCTTACATGGAAGAAGTGAAAGAGGAAGTAAAAAAGTTCAACATGAGAAGTGTAAAAGGTGGTGGAGGAAATGAAAAGGTAAGGGATTTTCTCTTATTGTATTCTTAAAGATTTGTATTTCCACTTTGATAACTTGAATTCATTGTTGTGTTGTCTCACTTCTGACTTTGTTTCCTTCCGCTAAGAAATGGCAATACTTTTTTTTTTAGTTTATAATTGAGTGATAATTTACATGGGAGAACATCAACTTTACATTCATCCTATCATATTTCGTTTAATTGTAGTTATTATAATCCCCTCCATGCATCATCATTCAAATGGTAATACTTTTTCTGAGTACCAGAAAAACTGGTGGTTTTTAGCTATAAATGCTTTTATTTCTAAAAATGACTCCCTCACTACCTTTATCTTTGTTTAATACGTTTACATAGATGTTGTGTTCTCAGTACATCCCCTCAGATTTCTCCAGCACTGTTTTTTTCACTCCTGATGCCCCTTCTTTTTTCACATAGCATTTATTACCTTTTTACAAATTATATAAATGACTAAAATTTTTATTTTTTGTGTGTATCTTTACTTGTAAAGGATAGCATTGATCTTTCCTGTTTTTATTTTATTTTTTTCTTACCTTTGTTGGTGAAAATGCACACAAAAACACATACTGTACTTCAACAAGCTCCTCATTTACAATTCAGTGACATTGGTTACATTCTTTTAAGTTGTTTCAACTTTCTCAATCTTTCCTAAAAACTGTGAGGGGATTTTTAAAAGTTCATAGAAAAATTCCAGTATCTTTCTGTTCCATTTTCCACAAGCTTTTTGAAGCTGACTCATATTTCACTGCCATGTGGCAATGTAGGATAAGCACTGGGCTACTAACCATAAAGTCGGTGGTTCAAACCCACCAGCTGCTCCTCAGAAACTATATAGAGTCGCTATGGGTTCAAACTGACTTGTTGGCACTTAACAACAACAGCACAAACTCACTGCCTCCCTAAGCTCATATTTCCTGTAAGAGTATAATGTTTATTAATGTAAGCATTCTTTTTTAATTAAACTAAACTGTTATTTGGCTTACTTCATTTGTTTTGTTTATTGGCTCATATTAAATTACTAGAATAATTCCTGGCTTGTTGAATGAGTGAAAAGTACCAATCAATATTTAAAAATATGTAATATTTATAATAGTTATTATAAAATATGTATGTTTTAATGTATTATAAAATATAAAATAATTATGTTACATTGAAAATATACAGATTGATAAGGAGAAAAGGGTTTTTGTTAATGAGAAGTGTTTTATTAACTAAGCTGTCATTAATAGCTAAGTTAATTGAGTTATAAGTTGTGACAGTTATTACTATACTTCAGTTTGGCAAAATATTTTATATCTCTCTTTTACTTTAGAAGTCTGGACCAACTGTTACAAAAGTTGTCACTGTTGTGACTACCAAAAAAGCAGTTGTTGATTCTGATAAGAAGAAAGGTGAGCTCATGGAGAATGACCAGGATGCCATGGAGGTAATTATTAATTTTGATTTAGTTCATGATACTTAGACATACCTATTAGAAAGCATTGATGGATATATATTTCTCAGTTTAGCACAATACTGCGTTGTGGAATGTTGCTATTCTCGATGATATTGTAGTTGAATATCTAGTGTTAACAGCATTCTCTGGCTTCATTCTATATGCTACTTTTTGATGTCCCCCTCTCATCAGCATATCTCAGGCACATAGGTAAAGGAAGCGAGAGAATGAATTAAGTTCCCATTAACATGTGTTGTAAAAATGGAAGAACATTAGGTTATTGTACAAAAACTTTATTAAGGTATCTCTGAGAATTAGTGTATTTCAGCTTTATATTGGAATTATAACTTTCTAAAATGCCAAAGCAAAAGAAGCTAAGAAAAATTCTTGAGTTAATGTATTCTCACTGAAAGTGATAGACATTATTTGAGGTGTGAAATGATGAGAATTAACGTTTATTAGAGCAGTACCGAGCCCTGGTGGTACAGTGTCTTAGCACTCTGCTAACTGCAATGTTGGCAGTTGAACCCACTAACCAGTCCATAGGAGAAAAGTGTGGTAGTCTGAGTCTATAAAGCTTTATAGCCTTGATGCTCTTATGGGGCAGTTCTCTGCTCTGTGGGGTCACTGGGAGTTGGAATTGATTCAATATCATTGAATTAGTATAACACAGGTAACTGGCAGCTTGTGGATGTAGCATTGTGGATTGACTGTGCTGCTGTGCTTGCTACATTAAGGAACTTCTCCAAGTTTTTCCTTGCTCACGGAGGTGGGATTGATGGGGCTTTCCTGACTCTGAGGAATGAACTGTACACAGAGCAGACCATCTCCCGCCCTGTGGGGGGAGAGGTACACTCAGGTGTCTGAATAAAGTGAGTGAGGGTGGGGAAAAAAAAGGCTAAATGTAATGTAGCTCTGGCCCAAGAGGAAGGAAGCTGTGAGGTCCAAACTCACACTTCTCCCTGTAGCCCTGCCCACCTTGTCCACATATAATCCAGGGTCCTTTCACTATTTTCCCATCCCTGTGTGCTGACACTGGCAACATTTTGTCTCTCAGCACACTGAATATTCTGGAACTAAAAAAAAAAAATAATTTTTTTTTTGAGTTAAGGAGTCTGTTTCAGCAAGTAATAAGGTAAAAGCTAAATTTCTAGAAGAGTATTTTAAAAGCCTAGTAATACTGCTTACTTTCGGGAAATGAAGTAACATACTAACTCTTAACTTTCTTTTTCGTCTTTTTTAAATTACAGTATTCTTCAGAGGAGGAAGAAGTTGATCTTCAGACTGCCCTTACAGGCTATCAGACAAAACAGAGGAAACTTCTAGAGCCAGTTGATCATGGAAAAATTGAATATGAACCGTTTAGAAAAAATTTTTATGTTGAAGTTCCAGAACTAGCAAAAATGTCTCAAGAGGGTAAATATCATTTATATATTGGTTATTGTGGGAGCAGAGGTGGAAATACTTTATTTTCCCTGAAGGGAATGTGGATAGACCTCTGCAATGAAGAATAGTAAGATAAATTTTCCAGTGACATGTGGAGATTTAATTAGAAGGTTAGAACCTACAGATTGAGAACATCGTTGCAAAGGTCCACAGCAGAAAGCAATCAGGACAATATTTGGAAGGGTAGTGGATTATGAACTGAGCTGCTAATTGCAAGGTCAGCAGTTTGAATCTACCAGTTGTTCCGTGGGAGAAAGAGGAGGCTTTCTGCTCCCATAAAGATTTACAGCTTCGAAAACCCTGTGTAGGGTTCTTATGAGTCAGAATCGACTCAGTAGCACACAGCCATCACCAAAAATTAAGCAAAAGTTAGGCTTGTGCAGCTGAAGATTTTTGAATTGCAAATGCTCTTCATGTGAGGTTAGCAAATAAAATATTTCTGCCAGCGTTTTTCTTCTGGGACTGGAAAGTTAAGAAACAATGTAAATTTATGTAATATTGGTGGTGGTTGTTACGTGCCGTGGAATTGGTTTCGACTCATAGTGGCCCTGTTCAGGGTTTCCGAGGCTGTAAATTTTTACAGGAGCAGAAAGCCTCATCTTTCTGCTGTGGAACAGTTGGTAGTTTTGAACCACTGACCATGAGATTAGCAGCCCTATTTGTAACCACTACACTATCAGAGTAGAATAAGGGTAATATGGGGTAACTCTTGAATGGAGAACAAATACATGTATTACTTTCCGATTCTTCTTTTATTGTTCTTGGAATTTAAGACAAAACAAAACCCAAATTATTCCAATTGGAGTGTTTCTTTTTTGTCCTTAGTTGATTGTAAAAGCAATTGCTTTCATTGTATCTGTGCTATTTAGTGCTCTTTCATGTAGCTCTTCTATGAACAGCATTAAAAAAGAAAAAGAGTTAAAGATTCTTAATTTCACCTTATATGTAATTAATAATGTGCCAACAGAACAATAGAGTTTTTAATTTGGATTTTGTTTTGTAGAGGTGAATGTATTTCGATTGGAAATGGAGGGCATTACAGTCAAGGGAAAAGGTTGCCCCAAACCAATTAAATCTTGGGTCCAGTGTGGAATTTCCATGAAGATCTTAAATTCCCTCAAAAAGTAAGTGGGAGCTGTTCACATTTTTTCAGTATCTTGCTGTTCATTATAGTCTTTTCACATAAATCTTTTCCTTGGGTTACGTGTTTACTCTAATATAGCAGTTTTATTGAGATAATTTGCATACCACACAATTTCCTCTTTTAAAGTGTACAGTTTTTAATATTTTCACAGGGTTTTCAAACTGTCATCATGGTCTAATTTGGAAATTTTTCATGCTCCCCACAAAAGATCTATTAACAGCCAGTCTTTCTCCCTTTCTCCTCAACTCTAGGCACCACTAATCTACCCTTTGTTTCTGTAGATTTACCTATTCTGGATGTTTCTTATGAATGAGTTCAATCAGTATATGGTCTGTTGTGACTGACTTCTTTTACTTAATGTTTTCAAGATTCTTTTATGTTGTGCCATGTACCAGTATTTCATTCTTTCTATTGCTCCACTTTCAGAAAGCTTATTCTAATGGGAGTGTGAGGGGCCCAGGCATCTTGATTCTTACCTTGCCCTCCTTTGGTTTTCTTTTTAAGACATGGCTATGAAAAACCCACGCCAATTCAGACCCAAGCGATTCCTGCCATAATGTCTGGACGAGACTTGATTGGCATTGCCAAGACAGGAAGTGGAAAGACTATTGCTTTTCTGTTGCCCATGTTTAGACACATCATGGATCAGAGGTCATTAGAAGAAGGAGAGGGACCAATAGGTAAGTTCCTTTCATTAAACTTTTTTTTTTTCAGGTAACCGTGTTCTCAGGTTAACCAGAAAGACCTGATACTTTATAATGTTCTTAAGTGTGACAATAAAGATGTCTTTATGTCAATTTCCATTATCAATTTGGCACTTTGGGGCTAATTTCCCCTTACTAGCAGGCGGAGGAGAATCTTCAGAGCTCTGGAGTGACATCTCAGAAGTACAAAAACAGCCTCTCTTGGCACAGCTCAGGTTTTAAACTCATGACTCAGCAGGTAGACTCCTCGTGCATCTATCTGTTTATTTATGTTGAGATTTGTTCTTAGCCCAGTATCAGTGGATCTATAAACTCAACATGGAAAAAAGTAGGGAAATGTATGAGGGTACTTCCACAAGTCTGTAGGTAAATGGAGTTAAAAGATACTGGAATTTTCCATAAACTTTTTGAAACCCCCTTATGTTTTCTTGTCCTTAAAAAGTTGCAGTGCCAGCATCTCATTCAGTGTTAGGTCTTAAGATTCAGATTTCTTGATACATTTTGACAGAGATTTTTCTGCAAACATTGAGTAGAATTTTGGCAAGTTCTGCAGTTCTTCACTTGGAAAACAGCGGGCACAATGTATTACTCCTGTATATACCCCTCAGACCTAGGTTGTTTCCAGAAGCATCGGTATGGTTTCTTCAGCAAGTGAGTCACTTGATTTTCTTTGCTATGCGATTCCCAGTTGAGATCTAATTGCATTTTATTCAACCAGGTATTTTTGTGGGGGTTGAGTGAGGCATTTAATTCTCACTTATTTTACTGTAATATGTTCTTAGAACTCTAGTTTGTTAAAATTATCTTTCAGTGCAATCTCTGCTATTAAAAAGCTTTTGAAATAGAATTTTCAGAGATGCAAAAGGCAAATTAAGACAAAACCCAAAAATTAGGCCAAGAGATCTGAACTTCATTGCAGAGCTTACTTTTTACACTTTTTAAAAGCATAGCCTTTCAAAGAATTTTGGTGGTTAGGTTTTTGACATATTTATCTTTTCAGCTGTCATCATGACTCCAACTCGAGAACTGGCTCTCCAGATTACTAAAGAATGTAAGAAGTTTTCCAAGACTCTGGGACTTAGAGTGGTCTGTGTTTATGGAGGAACAGGAATCAGTGAGCAGGTAGTCAATACAAGAAACCTTCCATAGTTCTATTCATTGCTCAAGTTGAATGGTTTTAATCTTGGAAAAGAGTGGTTTCCCATTTTAGTGTGTTGAGTAACGTTTGATTTTAAAATTTAAAATACATGATGTATGAAGATAAAAATAAGAATGAATTCTATTAATATTGTATTTCAGAATTTTTGATATATTTTTATATTAGTACTCTCCTTGGGCCTAAGGTATAATCTCTGTTTTCTGCATGAGGAAATAATTCAGAAATTTGACCATGGTATTAGGTTAGTATGTGTTTGAGTTTTCCATAGAGCCAGCATTTATGTTCTCTAATCCATGCTGACATCTTTAAAAGGGGCTGATGCATTGAATGTATTAGTATCACAATTTCTTAAATAATTTTAAAATCAAGAATTATTTAGACAAAACTTGTCTCACTTTAGTTTGACCTTTCTGTAATTGTCTTGTAAAGAATGATACACTTAGGATGTTTTTGCTTTAACTAGAAGAAGGACAAAGGTGCTGCAAATTGTTGATGTACTCAGTTGATAACCGAAGGTTAAAGGTTCTAATTCAACCAGAGATGCCCTGGAAAAAACAAAAATTCATTGAAAACTCTATGGATGTTATGGAGTTATACATGTAGAAACTATTGAATCAGTATATGTTTTTCTGTGTATATATTCTCAACAACAGAAACAAAAGAAAAGGTGTAGAAAGAAAATATTAGGGTGCACAGTTCTGTGGTCTTGTGAAATCACCATGAGTTGAGTCCATGGCAGCTGGTTTACTGCTGCATAATCAGATTGTAGTGTATTGGTGGCTCAGCAGCCGTACCCTTGCATTAAATGTGGGAGATTTGGGTTGGTGTCTAGAAAGTGGCCTCATGTGCAGCTACCACCTGTGTCTCAGGGCAGACTTGTGTGTTCCTATGATGCTGAGTAAGCTTCAGCAGAGCTTCCACACTGAGGTGATCTAGAAGGAAAGACCTGTACTTCTGAAAATGAGCCATTAAGAAACCTACGAATCACAACAGGCTGATCTACAACTGATGATGAGGGTGACGTAATTTCATTCTATTGTGCAGGGGCTGACTAGACAGTATACTACAGCGTTTATGTTCAATGGCATATCATTTTCAGAGACAGCCTAAACTTAAATTTAAGGATGGACAGAGGGGAGTGGAGTGCTCATCTGAAGATTACTGAAACACAAAACCACTGCTGTTGAGTTGATGCCAACTCATCGTTACCTTATTAAATGGTTGTTGCTGTTGTTAAGTGCTATAGAGTCGATTCCGACTCTAGCGACCCTATATAGGGTTTCTCAGGAGCAGCTAGTGAATTTGAACCATCAGCCTTGTGGTTCAAACTGACCTTGTTGGTCCAGTGCTTATCCTACAGTGCCACACCAGGACTCCACTATTGTTGTTGTTGTTATGTGCCGTGGAGTGTTCCGTGGAGTCAGTTCTGACTCGTAGTGACCCTGTACAGGGTTTCCGAGGCTGTAAATCTTTACGGGAGCAGAAAGCCTCATCTCCCGCGGAACAGGTGGTAGTTTCGAACCGCTGACTTTGCGGTTCGCAGCCCGATTCGTAACCACTTTGCTACCAGAGCTCCTTGACTCCACTATTAAATGGTGGTTAATGTTGCTAAGTGCAGTCATGTTGGTTCTGACCCATAGTGACCCACCCTGTATAGGGTTTTTGAAGAGTGGTTGGTGAGTTTGAACCACTGACCCTGGAGTTCAGCTGACTTTCCGGTCCAGTGCATTATCCTGCACAGCGCCACAACTACTTAATAGGTTTCTGAGGGTATAAATCTTTATGGAGGTAAACGTCTTCTTTCTCCCACTCAGTGGCTTGTGGGTTCAAACTACTAACCTTTGTTTGTTGTTGTTGTTAAGTGCTGTTGAGTCGATTCTGACACACAGTGACCCTGTATAGGGTTTACAAGGAACAGCTGGTGAGCTTGAACACCAACCTTGCATTTCAAACGACTTTGCAGTCTGACGCATTAGCCCACAGTGCCTTACCAGGACTTGAGCAGCCTATTATTTAGCCCACTGTGCCACCAGGGTTCCTTGATCTAGACGTTGTTGTTAAAGTGCCATCGAGTTAATTGCAACTCATGACAACTGCGTATAGGGTTTGAACCTATACGCTGGCCTTCTGGTTGGCAGTCCAGTGATTATGCTACATTGCCACACCAGGACCCTGATCTGAGAATTGTGGTGTTAGTTGTGTGCTGTAGATTCAAATCTGACTTATAGTGACCCTGTGTGGTGGTGGTGGTGTTACGTACCGTGGATTCTGTTCCGACTCATAGTGCCCCTGCACAGGGTTTCCGAGGCTGTAAATCTCTATGGGAGCAGAAAGCCTCATCTTTCTCCTGCAGAACCACTGGTAGTTTCTAACTACTGACTTTGAGGTTGGCAGCCCGACTCGTAACCACTGTGCTACGAGAGCTCTTAATGACCCTGTGTAGGGTTTCCAAAACTGTAAATCTTTATGGGAGCAGAAAGTCTCATCTTTCTTCCATGGAGTGGCTGGTAGATTCAAACTGCTGACCATGGAGTTAGCAGCCCAACACTTAATCTGATTTCCAAGGTTCCTTGATCTGAAGATTAGGACTCCTGCGTTTCTGTTCTGTTGCTGCTATTAATTGTTGACATAACAGTGCAGAGGATGCTTCCTAATCTGTAAAATAAGGAGATATCACTAGAAAATCACAAAACCTTGCTTTAATATTTTAATGGTAACATGATCAAGTAAGATTTTTAAATTTTGGATTATACAAAGTTGAAACAGGTTTTACTTCTTTAAGGCTTCTCAGTTTTTCATAAGCTAACATGTATTGTGATTCTAGAAGACAGGTATAGATTGATACTTTTTGAACTTATTTAACCATAAAACTGTAAGAACAAATTTTAGGAATGTTTTTGTTGTTCCAGTGCTAGTCTTAATCGCTTGAACTTAGTTCATTTTCTAAGTTTATCTATTTCAATGTTTTTGATCATTTTACTATATGACTTGGTATATATATGAATAATATGTTTATATGGAAGTGAAACAAAAGTTTCATGATATCTAGAATATTCTATTCTGGTATTTTCTATTCTATTTCATTCAAGAAATACTGGTTGTGACTTACTAAATTGGGTGCATTATTTACTAATGGCTGGCAGCCTTCAATTTGAAAAACATTGTATGATCACTTTATTTACTGCTTTATTATATTTCTTTCTTGGTTTTGAGTGGTTTGTTGTTGTTGTTGTTGTTGTTGAGTGCCATCAAGTGGATTCCGACCCATAGCGACCCTGCATTGGGTTTCCAAGGAACAGCTGGTGAGTTTGAACCACCAACCTTGCAGTTCAAATGGCTTTGCAGTGTGGTGCATTAACCCACAGCGCCACACCAGGACTCCATCGGTTTCGACTCACAGTGACCCTGCACAGGGTTTCTGAGGCTGCACATCTTTATGGGAGCAGAAAGCCTCATCTTCTCCCATGGAACCGCTGGTAGTTTTGAACTGCTGACCTTGAGGTTAGCAGCCCGATTTGTAACCACTGCGCTATCAGAGCTCCTTTTCTTTTGAGGGGTAGTGGCAAATTAAAATTGGTAAATATCGCTAGTTTTCCTTGATTTCACATATATAGCACAGTTTGGTCATGTTCCTGCTACCTGTTCCCTTAATATTACTGCAGAATTCCAAAGAATGAAGCAGTAAGCTTTGAAATCTTCAAATCTGATGTCACTGTTATATAGCGTTGGAGGCTTGGTCAAATCAGATTGATTATTTTCAGATCTGTTAAAATAAGCAGTAGTGATAGACTATAAAATTTCATCTTTTTCTCTTAGATTGCTGAACTGAAAAGAGGTGCTGAAATTATTGTTTGCACACCTGGTCGAATGATTGACATGTTAGCAGCTAACAGTGGTAAGTCGGTATTTTTTTGTTTTCTTTTCTCTTATTTTTGAATTCTGTACATTTTTTCTTAAAGCAGGTACAAGAAAAACCACCAAAAGGGTTCCTACCTATCTTCTTAAAGCTGTAATATCTTAAAAGTATGTATTGTATTGTTTATTATTATACATATTGATAATACTTTTGGAATTTGATTTAAAATTTCTTTTAAGAACTGACTCCATCTGGTTGTTTTCACACTTGTGCTATGCTTATTCATTTGTGGTCTAGGTTTGCCTTTAGAAGAGTGGGAAACTAGCCTGTATTATAAAACTTAAGGGTTTTTTTTCTCCAGAGGAAGTAATAGTTTCTTACAATACTGTATGAATTAAAATATTACAGCTTCAAGAAAGTTTGTATTTTGTAAATATTGCATGTTTTAGCTCAACTATTGTGCATTGTTAAATTATTCCCTATCCAAACTGATACTAAACTGTTGACATTATTTAACTTCTGTGGAGAAAGGCCCTTCAAGATTTATAGAACTGGGCTGCCGAGACTTAAACCATCAAAGGTAGGTAATTTGATGCTGTTCCCAACCTTGTCAGACTAATTGGGGCTGCAGATGTTAGTGTCAATACTTAAATATTAAAAAGCAATTATTGTGGTTCATTTCTATCTTTTGAATAAAAATGCTTTTGAAACTTCCATAGCAGTATTAAGTGCAAACATAAAGTGTTAAAAGCTGAGTAATGCATGTTCCTAATAGAGCATTCTGCTTGAATTTCTGTATAAACTCACTGCTAATTCTATATGAAGTTGGCAAAATGCCGTTGAAATTGTTTGATAAGTCACTGTGCTTACACAGCATATGAAGAGTTTTGGATTGAATACTGATTGAATAATCCCTTGGTTTTTGTCCCCTGCCCCCCCACAATGCTGTATTGATTAAGCCTCCTCCTGAAATTGAACTTGATTAATTTTTCTTTTTTTCCTTTTCTGTCCTTTTGGTTTACTTTTATTAACATTTTATGGATGTTTTTGCCAGGTGATTGATTCAACAGTTGGTAAAAAATGCTTTGTTAATCCATCAACAAGAGTTTCCTGTGTATGTGTTTAGTTTTTATTGGTTTTGAAGTCAGCTACATTTATTTAAGCCAGTAGAACCACTTAATAATATTGGATTTGTATCTTTGTATAGGAAAATATACTTACGTAGTGCATTTGGTATTTTAATATTAGCTACCTATTGATGCTAAATAGTTTCTCATTAATGTCTTGACATGCCCATTAGAATTTTCTAACTATATGGAAGTAAGTTATAAAGTATTATAAAAAGACGTTTTCTGCGCCTGAAATAGTTAGCACTGGACCTTGCCTTCCACACATACGCTGTAATCTCTAATATGTTTTTTCCTAGGTGATGCTGTCAGATAATGGCTGATGTGGCTCGATGCTTCATCTCAGTCTTAGTTTTATGATGTGTTTTGGAGAGGGCTGTTTTCTGAATTTTACAGGTTCTTCAGGCCCTATGATGGTATGCAAGAGACGAGTTTGACAAAATAAAGGGCCTCATATACCCATTGTCAGAAAGTATTTGCCATTAGATTAAGACATTGTAGACCAAATTTTTTTTTCACTGTTTAAAGATACCTAATCTACCCCTCTGCTTAAGTCAGGCATTTTAGTTCCCTTTACAGTTTTTTTTAAAGTTCTTGGTAGTCATAAAATGAATTGCCACTGATTTTTAGTTTTCTTTTTGTCTTTATTTTTTCTCCACATCTTAGGTCGGGTCACAAATCTTAGAAGGGTGACATATGTTGTTTTAGATGAAGCAGACAGAATGTTTGACATGGGGTTTGAACCACAGGTAAAATCAGTCATGTTTCTTCATGCTTTGAACTATACTAGTCAATATAAGTTGTGAGTGAAATGTGTCATGAGTATGAAATGTTTATGTTGTTTCTGAATTTCACACATTTATGTCTTATGGTGTAACACTGAGTTGGGGACATAGAGCATTGAAATAAATTTTCATATTTCAGATTCCTGATAAAACTTATTTAGGAAGTATTTGTGATGGCTTTACTTAGCCATCTGTGACTATCATTAGTCAAACTGGAATTTTTGTTATTAGATGTCAGCAAATGAATTTCTATTCAGGGCAACCCCAAGTGTTGCAGAGTAAGTTTTTTTTGACTATTGTTTTTTGTTTGTTTGTTTTATTGTGAATTATGTGATAGTTTACATGAGAGAACATTAGCTTTACATTTGTCCTATCGTATTACCGTTTCATTGACATGGTTACAATCCCCTCCATGCATCATCAACCAACCAAAAGGTATATACTGCAAGCCTTCCTCCTGGTCGTCTGCACACTTCCCCTCTCCCTCTTTGGGTCTAGAGTCCTTAGCCGTTCCATCTCTCCACGTCATCGTCTCTGCCTCCATCTCTGGCATCACTGTTTCTCTGGGTAGGGTCCTGCACTCTGCTCTTCTCCCTTGATGGTCCCAGAGACCTCTGCTCTTGGGCTGCAAAGTCAATCACTCCCCTCGTTTTGCTACAAAACATCTACCTGTACATTTCCAGTCCTCAGAATCTGCCCTGATAGCAATTATTCACTATAGTGCCACATGAGAGCCATCCTCATCTCTTTTCATAAGCCATGCCCAGACAGATTGGATACTACTCAGTGGAGATTCTACCCTCCTTCGTGCCCTCTGGAACTAGGCTCCCTCTTGAAAGCTTGTAAGCCAGTCGCCACTTCTTTGTAGCCCACCTTTTTGAGTAGCCAATGTCCAAGCTGCCCATCCTTGTCTACCCTCTTGACTGTATTCTTTTAAAACAATTTGATTGTGAATTGAGTAGAGCTTTACAGAACAGATCATCAGTTTTACATTCAGTGAATCATCTATTTCATTTCATCTTGATTGTAAGCCCCTCAATGCAGCATCACTTACCCATTTCTTCCAGGTATTTCTTGTTTCCATTCCTCCTTTTCCCCCCACCCTTCTGAAATTTGTCCTTAAGTAGATGCTGCCCGCTTGATCTTGAATGGTTGACTATTTTATGGTGTGCATACCTCAGTAGCGTGTTGTCGCCATGTACATGTCTAATGCTTGGCTGAGTAAGGTCAATTCCAGACCTGAAGGGTGGTCAAGGTCTGGGGATTCCACTAGTCTGTCTGATCCATAAACCTGGTCTTTTATTTTATTTTGAGTTTAGTTCCACATTTTCTCCCACTCTATTTGGGCCTTCTAATGTGGTCCCTTTCACAGCAGTCGGTAGTGGTAACTGGGCACCATCTAGTTCTTCTGGTCTCAGGGTCATAGACACTGATGCTCACTCCACTGGACTAATTGTTGGCAAGCACCTTTAAGTTTCATCACTGTTGCCTCCAGACTGAGAGAGACTAATAATGTCACAACTTAGATGACTGCTCACCAAAGTAGGATGTAGAATGTTGTCTTTTTCAGACTCTGCTACTTGGCTGTACTGTTAATGGAAGCAGAGGCCTCGTGTGACACTGTAGGATAAGTACTGGATTGCTAACAGCAAATTCCACAGTTCAGACCTAATAGGCACTCCTTGGAAACCCTCTCCAGCGTCTCTGAGAGTCAGAACCGGCATTTAACATCTATTTAATGGAAGCAGATCGTCAAGCTTTTTCCTTCATGATGTGGGCCACTGGGTGGGTTCAAATTGCAACTGGAATTGGAGTACTAATCATAGAAGCATTGTTGTTTGCCATGGAGGTCATTTCACCTCTACTTCCATGTAGGACAAGAGCAGAATTGTCCCATAGCACTTGCTAGACTCTGATCTTTATGGGAGCAGATCCTGCAGAGCTGCTGGATGGATTCAAACGTTTGAACTTTCAGTTTGCAGCTGAGTGTTTAACCACTGCACCACGAAGGCACCTTAATAGAAACTTAAGCTTTCATTTTTTATAGTTTTCTTTTTGCTTCCAATTAAATTGTTTGAATTTATTCTTTTAACTCCCCTGTGATCAGTGTAGCAAATGTTTATTTTCCCCAGATGTAAAATAAACTAAAGCCCAAAGCATTTGCTTAGCTTAGATCTTTAAAACTCCTCATACATGTTTTCTCAAGTACAAAATTTCAGAGATATAAACTTAAACATGTTAAAAGGTGATCAAAATTTTTTCTTAACAAGTAGAGTAATGTAAGTTTTCAATCTACTATGTCAAAATTTAAAAATCTATGCTCAGACACTTTGGGAGCACAAGTTTGTGGTTTGAGTCCACCAGATGAGGCTTTTTGCTCCTGCAAAGATTTGCAGCTTCACGTGTACTAGTTATGAATCGGGCTGCGAACCTCAAGGTCAGCAGTTTGAAACTACCAACTGTTTTACGGGAGAAAGATGAGGCTTTCTGCTCCTGTAAAGATTTACAGTCTCGGAATCCCCATGTGGTGTTGCTGTGAGTTGGAACTGACTCCACAGCAGACCACCGCCAAACCCTTTACAGGGTCTCTATGAGTCAAAACTGACTCAGTGGCTCCTGGTGGTGGTGTGGTGGTTATATGCTGTGGAATTGGTTCCAACTGATAGCGACCCTGTACAACGGCACTTAATAAACAACAAACCATACATTATAGTGCTAGAAATAAGAAACAGATTTTGGGTTGCAAAAAAAAAACAAAATCTGTTTCTAACTGTGTCTTTTAGAATTTGTTGAAAGAGGTACATGCAGTTCTTATTTAGTCTTAATTTAATGCAAGTAGGAACCCTAGTATCACAATGGTTAAAGTGTTCAGCTACCAACCAAAAGATTGGTGATTTGAGCCCACCAGTCGCTCAGCAGATGAAAGATGTGGCTATTTGCTTCCATAAAGATCACAGCCTTGGAAATCCTGGAGGCAGTTCTACTCTGTCCTTATAGGGTTACTGTGAATTAAAATCAACTTATGTGTTTGTTGGAGTTAATAAAAGCATACTGCTGTGACACTGTAGGATAAGCAGTGGACTGTCAACCTAAGAGTCAGTAGTTCAAACACCAGTCGGTCCTCAGAAACTCTATACAGGGATCTCTCTGAGTAGGAGCCAACTTGACATCACTAAACAACAACAATGTAAAAGCCTTATGTCTTTTCACTGGTTTAAAAGCTGCATGTGCATCAAGATGAAGAATTGGTTGTGAGTAGGGGTTGGCTCAGTCTCCATTTGAACGTGCGTGGCTCTCCACAGTCCTGTCAGTAGTCTCATTTTATGCATCAGGCTTCTGAAAGGACTTACTATGCCTCTTCTGAGTATATCATTTCAGGGCTTTGACCTGTTATTTTTCCTGTTCCGATAATCATGAAAAATACCCACGTTGATTTCTCTTTTGTTTTGTCAACCATGACAGAACTGGTTTGAAGCCATGAATTAAAGGGCAAGTAAGAGTTGTCCATAAGTTAGATGTTTGTAACCTGGGGACTACATGTATGGGAAAAGAATTAGGGAAATGTTCCTTTCAGGCATTTCTCTTTATTCATGTATTCTCCAAGTATATCTTGCTTGTCAGATGACAGTATTTGCTTTGTGTTTTGATTTAGGGACCGCATTCTAAATGCCATACTAATAGAATAGGCTTAAACAAGAGCAAACGGGATTATAGTAACACTTGACCCATGTGAGAAATAGAGGAATAAGGGCTATTTAGCTTGGAGTAGAGGGCTTGATAGTATCTTTTAACTCTTTGAAAGTCTGTCATGTGAAAGAGGCATTGAATTTACCCTTTTGATCTCAAGGAATGAAACCGAGACTCAATAGGGAAGCCATAGAAAGCTTGATTTGAGCTTAATGTAAAGAAGGACTACATAAGCATTGTTTGGAGATGAAACAGGTTGCTTTGTGGGAGAGAGCAGATATTGACTATCCTTTTTATCCGGGTGTTTAAGCAGAGGCAGGGGGTCCATTTGTGGAATGGATTCTGGAACTAGGTGCTCTTTAATGTCTTTTTCAGTCATGAGAAATCTTAGATTTTATAATGCTTATGATAGATATAGTGGTAATGACTCATATTGTTTAAAGTCCAGTGAGAAGCATATTAAACATACAGAAATTGTTGCTGTTAAATCCCCTTGAGTCAGTTCCAACTCATAGTGGTCCTGTATAATGTTTCCAAGGAGTGGCTAGTGGTTTTGAACCACTGACCTTGTTAGTAGTCCAGTGCTTATCCTACAGCACCACACCAGGGCTCCATATATAAATTACGAGTATAAAAATGTTGTGGAGTAGAAGAGGGTACTGTGGGGCATATAGCAAAGCAACTTAACCTTGTAGAGTCATTCAGTGTTTTCTTGAGGGAAAAAAATGTTTCCACTAAAACACGTAGTATTTAGAGAAGCCAAGAGAGGGACTAGCTGGAAAGAATGTTTCAGGCAAGAAAATGCCATGTATAAAGATCTGATTTGTAAGTAAGGGAGAAAGTATGATTGTAGGAAGTGAGTCATTTATCATTAAATATAAAAGTTTATTTCAAAGTTTATTCCTAAGAGCATATGACTGGAATATATCCAGGTACTTGGTAGGAAGTAGCTAGACCTTGACACAGCTCAAATGAAGGCATTAACACTTAATGTGTAACTCAGTTAAGTCTTCCCAAATACTGAGACTCTCAAAACAGAATCTCAGTAAGTTTAAGGACTTACTACTTAGCAGTCTGTAGTTAACATGCTACACCTCCTTACTTTAAGTTAGGAAACATACTCAGAAGTTTCAGAAATACATTTTAAACAGTACTTTGCAGTTTGATAGCCAAGTCATCTATGCCAGGAAATTTGGAAGAAAACAACTTGGCCAACTGATTAGAAAAGATCCATATTTGTGCCCATTCCAAAGAGAGGTGACCCAGGAGAATGGACAGTGAATAAGAAAGACCATAGAAGAATTGCTGCATTGGCGTTCTGGTGTTGAAGAAGAACATTAAAAATACCACGGACTGTCAGAAGAACAAATAAATGTGTGGTGGAAGGAGTAAGCCATAATGTTCCTTAAAAGCCAGGATAGTGAGACTTTGTCTCTCATACTTCAGATATGTTGTCAGGAAGGACCAGTCCCTGGAGAAGAACATCATAGTAGTAAAGTGGAAGAGGGTCATTGTGAAAGAGGAAGACCCCCAACAAGATGGATCGACACAGTGACAGCAGCAATGGGCTCAAGTGTAACAATTGTGAGGATGCTTCTACAACAGTCATGTTATCTGAAATTCCTTTAATTGTTGTACCTATATTTTAAATGTCAAACAATCATTTCTGACTCACTGTCCATTTCTGACTGTCCTTCATTTTCAATCATAGCACACTCTCTTTTAAATTCTTGCAATTGCCTGGATTTCTTCCCTTGGAGGAGTTGAAGGACAGGTCTTTCCAAATCCAGAAAATCTAGCAATTTTCCATTTAGTTTAAATACATGAGGTGGTATTTCTGGTCAAGAGCCGCTGGTTTTGAAAATGGGATGATTTTAATTTTCTTTACATTGAGGTGCAATCTATACTGAAAGCTGTAGTCTTTGATCTTCATCAGTAAGTATTTTAAGTCATCTTTGCTTTCAGTAAGCAAGGTTGTATCATCTGTGTATTGTAGGTTGTTAATG